TCCTGCTGGAAGGAAGAGACCTATTGATAGTTATTAGCTGTTTTGATTAAATGGAGCCTTCCTGTTCAGAAACGCATGTGCTTCTGGCCACCAGATGCTGAAGACGCCCCTTTTGGGAGCTTGCTAAAGGTATCTGGTTGGCCATCATTGGAAGCAAAATAACAACATAAGAAGAGCCCTGCTGGATCAGACCAGTGGTCCATCTGGCCCAACATCCTGTCTCACACAATGGCCAACCAGTTCCTCTGGAGGATCAACAATAGGGCATAGAGGCCGAGGCCTTCCCCTGATGTTGCCTCCTGGCTCTGGGATTCAGAGGATTAGTGCCTCTGAATGTGGAGATTCCCCTCAGTCGCCGTGGCTAGTAGCCATTGACAGACTTATCCTCCGTGAGTCTATCTAATCCTTTTTAAAAGCTGTTAATTTTTTGGCCATCATTGCATCCTCTGACAGCGAATTCCACGTTTTAATCACTCTCTGGTGGGCTAGACAGATGAATGGCTGATCCAGCAGGGCTGCCCATATGTGGCCTCTCGTACATAACACTTTCTGGAGCAAACCCGTTTCTCAGCCTAACCCACCTTGCGAGACTGTTGTAAGGGTAAAATGAGCTAATACCCCCTACACACACACACACACACACAAACACACACACACCAGAGTATGTTGTCCTGATCTCCTTGGAGGCAGGATGCTGTAGAAAGCAGGGCCTCTTCATTTGTTCACTGCCAACCCAAGAAATGTGTCTTGATGCTGGTTCCGCTGTGCTTCCTTCCCACCAGGCCACCCTTCCTGCTTACAGTTCACTCCGGTCATGATGGCAGCAGTGAAGACCTACCGCTGGCAGTGCATCGAATGCAAATGTTGCAACATCTGTGGGACCTCGGAGAATGACGTGAGTACCACCCACCACCCCTCCTGACGGGTAGGCCTTGTTCCCCATCTTCCTTTTGGCACAGCACCTCTTTTGTTGGCTCCACCTCCTTCCAGCCATCAAGCCGTCTCTCTCGCTCCTCTTTAATTCTGGCTTCTTTAAGCTTTCCTTGCATCACACACAGGGTGGCGAGGGCTTAACACCCTTCCTCCAATTCCCAGGTAATTGAACTCTGGTCTCCCCCAAATTAAAGATAGGAAAGCCTCACTTTGGCTTGCATTGAGTGTCGCTTGCAAAGATTTTCAAAGCGTTTGGGGGCTCAAGAGGCTAACCCCTCACCCCCCTCGTTTCTGGCACGGATGATGAATAGGGTGTTAATGGGAGGGGATGACCCTTAGAGACGTGGGTTTGATAGACCCAGTGGAGCTGTTCAGAACTGCTGTTTAGCCCTGGCTTCCTGGTGAGTGTATTCCTCCTACTGTTCTGTTCACCCCTGCCGAGCTCAGTCTGTTCAGCTTCCGCATCGGCTCAGGGCTCACTGGCCTTTATTGGGCCATCGAGTTGAGTTGGGGTAAGAGAGCCACTCTTCCTGGGTCCTTGAGCATAAATAGTTGGCCGGCGTCATCGTTCTGTTGTATTCTGTACCGTGGAAGGATGGGGTGTTTGGCTTCTGTTCTGTTCCGCTCCAGGCAAAGAGAAGAAGCTGCTTGTTGTTTTTTTTAAAAAAAAACACATTGAATAGTTTGGGGGGGGGTGAGAGAGAGAGAGCTGGAGCTGGGTGTTGCCCCCTCCGGTAGGAGGAGTCATCAGACTTTGTGCTTTTCGACCATAAGGGAGGGGGGGAGTGGGCATCCGCAGGGTGCTGAATCCTGTCCCAAAAGAAGGGGATTAATATGGACTTTCTATTCGGTCTTCCCCTCCTTAGGACCAGCTGCTGTTCTGTGACGATTGTGACCGTGGCTATCACATGTACTGCCTAACCCCGCCCATGTCAGAGCCGCCTGAAGGTGAGTGCTGCTCCTCTCCTCTGCCTTTCCACCTCTTGGTGGGTTTTTTTGGGGGGTAGATGCTTAAGATTACTCAGTGCAGCTCTCGTGCCTGTTTCTGGGTGGAAGCTATCCTTTTGTGTGCCGGTGGACTGACCGAAGGAGTTTCATTCCCAGTCATATCAGAACACTTCCCTTGGGCTTTCAGTCTTGCTTTGTCACGGTATGGTTACGAGATTGCATTACGTAGCGAATGCTGGCCGTGCCTGGCAGCAGGTGGGTTGCTGACTCATTTCCTGAGCAGCTGCTGACTCGGGCTTCCAGCAACAGTCTCGTGGCCAGAGGTTGTAGGGCAGTTCTTCCTTTAGTTAATCTTAAATTGCCTGTTAATGTTCAAATCACGGATCACAGTTCAATCTCTTTTGCTGGGCCCTAGTTGGACCGGAAGAGTTTTCTTTCTGTAACAGCTCTGCTTCTGGCAAGCAGGTGACTTATGCATTGTATAACTGCTATTAAAACCTCTATATGAAGCCCTGGCACAGAGGCAGAGCACTTCTTTTGTATGCACAAGGCCCCCGGTTCAGCCCCCAGGTTCTTCTTTTTAAAAGAACCCCAGGTGAGAGAGAGCATTCTGCGTCTGAGAGCTGCTGCCAGTCCGAAGAGGCAGTTCTGGTCTAGCCTTGGAATAAAAGCACTTAAATAACTTTCACGTCCCTGAGCAACCATCTCCTCATCCCTGTGCTATTGGAGTTTTTGACCATGCTGCGTCATCATTGAATAGTAATGGCACAGGTACATGGCCTTGCTTGCTGCCCCCAGCCTCAAAATTTTCTCTCTCCTCCTCCTCCTCAACCACACTGGGGATCTGAGCATTTTCAAGACGTGTTGTAGGACTTCCATGTTTGGTTATTAATAGCTGAGTTTAAGTCAGCCTGGTGTAAATGTAACATTTTATTTTTACTGCACAACATGTTAAGTCATAGCTAAGTGCTCCTGAGTGGGTGGGTCTATAAATAAAGCCTGCTTTGCTTGGGAGAATGCCTGAGTGGACCCATGCTACTTCTGAGGAACTCAGAGCCATGTACACAAACTTGGCAGTCTGGATACCGCACTACACTGGCTGCCAGAAAGAACGGATGAGGTAGCATCCCATACCCAGTTGCTGTAGGAGTGAAAGGGACAACGACATGTTTATAGAGCCAGTGTGGTGTTGTGGTTATAGAACGCTGGACTAGGGCCCTGCTTCAAATCCCCACTCTCCCGTGGAAGACCTTTGAGTCAGTCGCGGACTTGTAGCCTAACCTACCTCACAAGGTTGTTGTGAGGATTAGGTGCTAGAGAATGACATAAGCTGCTTTGGTCCTCACTGGGAGAAAGAAAAATAAGTCACGATTGTGCTTGACTTACTGCTTCTTTTCAGAAAGCAGCTACCTTCCAGCAGTACTGGTTGAGAGCCAGTTTAGTCTAGTGGTTAAGTGTGGGGACTCTAATCTGGGAGAACCAGGTTTGATTCCCCACTCCTCCACTCGCAGCTGCTGGATGACCTTGGGCAAGCCATAGTTCTGTCAGAGCTGTCCCTAAAAGGGCAGTTTCTGTCAGAGCTCTCTCAGCCCCACCTACCTCACAGGGTGTCTGTTGTGGGGAGGGGAAGGGAAAGGAGTTTGTAAGGTGCTCTGAGACCCCATGTGAAGGGCGGGGTATAAATCCAATCTCCTCCTCTTCTTCTACCTGTTTTGACAAGTGTTTGCCTCTGCTGACTTGGATGTCTTTCTGTGTCTCCACCCCATTGGTTTCTGCAGGGAGCTGGAGCTGTCATTTGTGTCTGGATTTGCTGAAGGAAAAGGCCTCCATCTATCAGAACCAAAACTCTTCCTGATGGGTGTCGGGGCAGCAGAGAAGAAAGGAGGCTCCAAGGAGGAACCTTTGGTTGTTCGCTGCATTACAGGGGCTGTCTGTCCTTTCGTGGTTTACTCTTTCTTCTAGCACCTTCTGCTTGCGGTCAGCGTCTCCTTCACCAATTGGATCAGGCCCTCCCCCCCACTGGCTCTCGCTGTTGTTCTCCACCGTGGTTTGAACCTCTCTCGCTTAGCGGTCGCTCTGGGGAGTGAAGGGACTTTGCCCCCTCTTCTTCTGTGAGATCTCAAGTCTACCAGGAGGTTTCAGGCCCAAGCCCCGAGCAGATGCAGGGAGGAATCCCGGTGCTTGTGCCTGGCTGAGGATCATCCCATCTGCAGCCTTAATCCTTAATGCTCTAGGAGCAAAGCTTCTCTTAAGCGACCTGGATTGGAAGCCTTGCAGTGCTTGCTGGGAGAAGGGAAGAAGCGCCTTCTCCCCTCACTTAACATTGTGCTATCGAATCGACAGCCAATCCTTAGGCTTCTGCCTCCACAAGCTGGGCTGGCCAATTGAAAAGGAAGCTGCTTTGAATGCTCCCCCACCCCAGTCTGCTTTTTCTTTTCCTGGGTTTGAACCCCAACCCACCTGCCTGGAAAACCCCACCTGGCGAAGAGGTTCCCAAGTCCTTTGTCATCTGTCCTCCCTCTTCCGAGAAGAAGTGGCTTGATTGCTGGCGTAATACGAAAGGAACAGTGTGGCAGTCAAGAGCAGCCTTCTGGAGCAAGGGTGTCCTGGACGACCTTGTGCGCAGTGTGAAGCCAGCAGTGTGAACCGGGAGGCTCTTGACTTGGCTCGGGCAGGTGTCGACTCTCATCTGCCAGGCTTGGAGAAGACCTTTTGAGGTTTACTCCTGTCTTAGTGGAGATTGGATCTTGGCCCAAAGAATCCCTATAGAAACAAAAAAAAAATCATTATTTTCATGTTTTTACAAACATATAGGATTGTGTATTTGACTCAGGGCTGTCTTCTGGTGGGGTGGGATTGGGGGAGGGGGAAGTACTCCTATCTTTGGAGCAGAGAAAGAGGTCTCTGGGCTTTCCTCTCCCTACCTTGGTGAGCCCCAGATACATGGGGGTGTCGACCACAGCCACAGGCAGGCATGATAGTGTCGCAGGGGACTTCAGTACATTTTAATCCAGGAGGGTGTCTTTCCCGTTTCTTGCCAGCATTATAGATCCCCCCCCCAACATACCCCATCCTGCTGGTTTTGGAGCTGCCTGCAGGGCAGTTGGTTAGTTGTTTGACTGGGAAGAGCAAAGGTCCTCTTGGGCTGGCAGCTCTTTGCCTCAAGGAGCGGAGCTTGTTAAGGGAGTTCAGTCCTCCAGCTTAGCAGCAGATGCCTGCGGAGATTGTCCCAGGATCGTCCGCTCCCCTTGATGTGTCGAGTGCCTCTCTGGGAGCGTCGGCCGTGAGAGTTGGGTTACCTGCCTGGGTTCCCCTTTTGTCCAAGCCTTACTTGACGTCTGTTTGCCACGTCCTGGTCCCCCACATTGTATGTGTGCGGTGTCTTCTCTCTACCCTCGCTGCTTTTGGCTGCGAACCCCATGGGAGCTGGTGTGTCGTCCACCAGACCTGGTGTGTGGAGGTGTCTTTCCAGGAACAAAAACTGTCTTTCGCTTCTGTCGCCCTCTTTGCCTTTTGTGTCTCTTCCTGGGAGGAATCGGTCCCCATGAATGACATTTCAGAAGATCGTCTTGAAGTCCCACCATTATTATTGTTTTTATTAATGGGAGTTTTCTCCCGTCACCCCGGGTCGTGGTAGAGAGCAGAGGAAGGGTGCCTCTGGAACCGGGTGGTGTGTAATAGTGTACTAACACATGTGCCTGTTTTTTCTAAAATTGACTTCAAACCTACCTCCAAAACCCCCTTTTGCATTTTTCCCACGTGCTCTCAAAAAGGATTTGAATCCTCCTCTGCCCCTGGTCCGTTTTCCTGCAGAAGGCAGCATGAGATGGCTCAGGGCTCTCTGTCAGAGTGGGAGCGGGATAGTTATTTTTTACTCACTGGGCCGTGAGTGCAAATCTAGCCAGCAGTTGGCTTGGCTTCACATGAAAGCCTAACCTGCTACCCTGCCGGTTAGGTTAGTGGCTAACCAGACAGGATTTGGCCTCTTAGGGATAGCTGTGTGGGGAAAAGGTAAACATGATGGAAGCTTTTTAACCCTCCCATCCCTATTGCTGACAAGGCTCTTCTTCAGGTGGGCTATAAGTTGGGCCTGCGAACTCAGAGTTTTATGTGAAGCATGAAGAAGGACCTCTCTGTTTGTGTCATTGTGCACTTGTGCTCCTCGATCCCCTCAGGGCCACACAGCTCCCCTAGGGAAGCACCCCCCCCCCCAGCTTTCCTTAATCTTGCACTTGTTTCTTTTCTCTCCTAACTGGGTGGGGTGGGCAGATTCATAAGATTGGGGGGAGGGAGCTTCGGTCATTGGGCTTTCCTGCATTCTCATTTGCATGTTTCCCCCCCTCTAGTGGTTGATTTGATATTATATTGCTTCATGGCCAGCATAAAACCCTGCAGTTTAAATCTGTTGGGAGATAATACTGGGCATAAAGCGATGTAATATTGGATCGACCACTAGAGGGAGCAAAACATGTGGGGAGCAGAACACCCCCCCCCCCCCCCAGCAACAGGAACACACAAGCCAGGAAGATGAGAATGGGGGGAAGCCCATTAAGAGATCTTGGCTAAATCTCATTGGGGGAATTGCTGTCCCAATCCTAGCTGGGGCATGTCTTTGCTCGAAGCATCACACCCGTGTCTTAAACTCACTACCGTAATAAAACACCAAAATGGCTTGTTTTTAGACCTATGTTTTATCGTAGTCTTTTGTCCTTTGGGTGGGTGGTAGTGGGATGATAGGTTGATATGGGGGGGGAGAGTTGTGTTTTAAAAAAATAAAGCTGTGTGAAGCCCCCACTGCATTGTGGGAATTCCATGCTCAGGTTAATTCTGTTGATGGGGGTGGGGTGGAATAGAAAGGTGAAGCCTCGGTTCCTAGATTGGCTTTCTTCACTGCTTTTGTGGTTTGGGGTGAGAAGCAAGGGGGGGGGTGCACCTGCCTCCGTTTCTCTGCCCTGCAGTGCTTCTGTTCCTTGGGCATCTGCAAAGCAAAAAGACTTCCATCTTTTTTATTTGAACCCATCCAAGGGCTGGAAGTTCGGCTACAATACCTCAACTCTGTGCTTTTGTGGTGTCTGTAAGTTGGTTCTGTAGCCCCTCGCACACCTGGGTTGCCATTCTTGCTCCATGCTTCCACCCCTTGTCCACCCCCTCCCATCTCCCTGACTTACTGGTTTTACATTGAGTTGGTGGCTTTGTTCCTTCCTCTCCCCAGATGTTGCAGATGATTTTGTGGGTTTTGGAATCCATTTCTGTTGGTGGTTCTTTCGCTTTTTAATTCTCCGGGGAGTCACCCACCCACCATCTTTTTATAGCGGGTTAAGCTGAAGTGTGTTTTTGGCTCTTTTATTTTAAGGTACTGTAATAAGCATTAGTGAATAAATATCATTTTTACACAGGTGGTGTCTCTTACTTTTGTCCTTAGTATTTAGCTGAAAATGACTTATTTCCACCCATTGGTTCTAGTCTGCAGTGGAGCGAAAGAAAGCAAGATCACCTTCTCAGCGAAAACTTTAGGTATTTGAGACCACAGTCAAGTCTCCACTTAATCTTCTTCAGGCTACAGATGCGCATGCCCTTTAACCTTTGCAAATAGGACTTGGTTTCCAGGCTCTTCACCCTCCTGGTTGCCTCATCTGGATGTGCTCTGGTTCGTTGATGGCCTTAAAATGTGGTTCCTGGAACCAGCCACTGTACTTTTGGGGAGGTCTGATGAGTAGAGAACAGACTGGAACCATTTCCCCATGATCTAGACACTATATTTCTGTTAATGCATTGGAAGACTGCATTTGCTTTTCTAGCTGCCGCATTGCACTGCTGGCTCTTGATCCTTTTCACGTGTAGTGCAGCCGAGCCAAACATCCCTTCCTGTATTTGTGTGCCTTAGACTTTTTTTGAGCTTGAACATAAAAAGTTCACATGTCCTTGTTGAAATTCATTTTGTTGGCTTGACTCAGCCTTGCAGAATAATTTTGAATCTTGACTCTTGTCTTTGGTGTGCAAGTGTAAGTTGGTAGCCATACTGGAGGAGAAGATACAGGGACCTGAGGCACGCTTGTCCACACTCCAGTTTATAAGGGAAGGTGAAGAGTTAATGGACAGAATGCATGAAGCACTCCTGAGAGGGAAACAGGAGGAGGGAAAGGTATCAGCAACTGGAGAATCACCCAATATAGTAGGCGGGTGCATGGAAGAATGTAATCCACAGGAGCAGGAGGATCAAGAGACATTCTAAGCCTCTGTTACTAAGCAATCCGTTCCTGGATCTTCCCACAGATATTGATTCTGAACCACTGGAACAAGGGCTCTGCCCCCAGCCTCCACAAAGCTTGAAAATTTCTCAGACCTCTGTGGATGAAAGGACTCAAACCTCTGCTTCCCAATATTGGAGAAAGCGTGTATTGGTAATTGGGGATTCCTTACTGAGAGGGGTAGAAACTAAAGTGTGCCGACCAGAAGTCATCTCGAGAGGTATGCTGTCTACTGGGTGGCACACAACCAGGATGTGACAGGGTAGGAAAACTCAAGCCCACAGATTATTCCTTCTTGCTCATCCACGTGGGAACAAATGATACCGCCCAGCACAGCCCAGAATGTATTAAAAGAGACTATGTGGCTCTGGGTAAAAAGGTGAAGGAATTGGAAGTGCAGGTTGTATTCTCACCAGTTCTTTCTATCGAATGCCATGGCTTAGGAAGGGAAAGAAGAATACTGCAGATCAGTGACTGGCTATGTAGATGGTGTCATCAGGAAAGGTTTGGGTTTTTGGTTCATGGCTTACACTTTTGAGATGAAGGTCTTCTATCGGGAGATGGTTTGCACCTCACGAGGGTAGGAAAAAATGTGTTTGGAAACAGCCTTGCAAACTTAATAAGGAGAGCTTTAAACTAAATCTTGTGGGGGAGTGAAACAAAAATGCAAAGCCCAGTATGATGCCAGTAACTGGAGATGATAACTAAAGTTTTGTAGGGAGTGGCACGTATGCTAGATAACATTAACTCACATGTAAGTACAGAAAAACAGACTATAAAACATGGATTCTGATGTCTCTACACTAATGCACAGAGTATGGGAAACAAGCAGGAGGATCTTGGAAGTCCTAGTACAGGAAGGGGACTATGACCTAATAGGCATTACTGAAACTTGGTGGGATGACACAATTGGAATATTAGGACTGAGGGGTATAACTTATTTAAAAGGGACAGAGAAATAAGGAAGGGTGGAGGAGTCACATTATATGTAAAGGAGGTATATACTTGTGAGGAAATACATGAATGTGAGCATGAAAGTCCAGTTGAGAGTCTCCGGATAAAAATAAAAGAAGGAAGAAATAATACTGATATCATAGTGGGGGTCTGCTATAGATTACCAAGCCAGGCAGAGGATTTGGATGAGACACTCCTAGAACAGATTATAAAATTCTCAAAGAGATGGGACATGGTGGTCTTGGGAGATTTCAATTACCCGGATATCTGTTGGAAGTCCAACTCTGCTAAAAATGAAAGGTCCAATACCTGACTTGCTGACAACTTCATTTTCCAGAAAGTGGAAAGGGAAACAAGGGGATCTGCTGTCTTGGACTTGATTCTTACCAACAGGGAGGAACTGGTTGATGAGGTGAAAGTAGTGGGCACCCTGGGTAATAGTGACCATGAAATTTTGGAATTTACAGTCTTGGGGAAGGTAAAAGCTGTACATAGACATATAGGTTGGACTTCAGGAAAGCAAATTTTGACAAAGTTATGCTGGGTAGAATCCCATGGTCAAAAATTATCTTCAAAGTAAGAAAAAAGCAAGGATATGGTAGGCCCACTGCGGGGACAGGAAAGTGAAATTGTAATAGGTGATGAAGAGAGGGCAGAACTGCTCAATTTCTACTTTTCCTCAGTCTTCTCTTGCAAGGGAAACTGCTCAGTAGGGCAAAAACAAAACACATGATGAGGGAAGGGAGTTGCAGCCTAGGATTAGCATAGGGGTAGTACATAAACACCTAGTTTATTTAAAAGAAACTAAGTCCTCGCGCCAGATGAGCTGCACCCAAGAGTACTAAAGGAACTCACAGATGTAATTTCTGAGCCTCTGTTCATTATTTTTGAGAATTCTTGGAGAGCAGGTGAGGTGTCAGAAGATTGAAGGTGGGGAAATGTACCCATCATCAAGAAGGGGAGAAAGGAGGATCTGGGTAACTACCGACCCATCAGCTTGACGTTTATACCTGGGAAAGTTTTAGAACAAATAAACAGTCCTTGAGCATTTAGAAAGGATGGCTATAATTACTAAGAGCCAGCATGGGTTTCTCAAGAACAAGTTATGTCAGACTAACTTTTATCTCTTTTTTTGAGAAAGTTACTACCTTGCTGGATCAGGGGAATGCTGTAGACAATTTATCTTAATTTCAGTAAGGCTTTTGATAAGGTTCCACATAATATTCTTGTTGACAAATTGGAAAAATGTGGTTTGGATCCTATGACTGATAGGTGGATCTGTAACTGGTTGACAGATCGCACCCAAAGAATGCTTGTGAATGGTTCCTCATCTTGGAGAGGAGTGACAAGTGGAGTGCCTCAAGGATCTGTCCTGGGACCTGTTTTGTTCAACATCTTTATCAATGATATGGGTGAAGGGATAAAGGGAATGCTTATTAAGTTTGCAGATGATACCAAATTGGGAGGGGTAGCAAATACAGTAGAAGACAGAGTCAGGATATAGGATTATCTTGACAGGCTGGAAAATGGGCTAAAACAAATAAAATGAATTTCAATGGGGATAAATGTCAAGTTCTGCATTTAGGTAAGAAAAATCAAATGCATAATTATAGGTTGGGGGAGACTTGTCTTGGCAGTAGTCTGTGTGAAAAGGATTTAGGGGTCTTAGTAGACCATACACTGAACATGAGTCAGCAGTGTGATGCGGTTGCTAAAAAGGCAAATGTGATTTTGGGCTGTATCAACAGAAGTATCCAGATCATGTGAAGTGATGGTACCACTTTGCTCTGGTTAGACCTCACCTAGAGTACTGTGTGTTCAGTTTTGGGCACCACAATTGAAGAAGGATATAGACAAGCTGGAACGTGTCCAAAGGAGAACAACAAAGATGGTGAGGGGTCTGGAGACCAAGTCCTATGAGGAAAGTTTGAAGGAGCTGGATATGCTTAGCCTGGAGAGGAGATGACAGAGGTGATGTGATAACCATCTTCAAGTACTCGAAGGGCTGTCATTATAGAAGATGGTATGGAGTTGTTTTCTGTTTCCCCAGAAGGTCAGACCAGAACCAACAGGTTGAAATTAAAAGAGTTTTTGGCTAAACATTAGGAAGAGCTTCCTAACAGTTAGAGGGGTTCCTCAGTGAAACAGGCTTCCTCAGGAGATGGTGGGCTTTTCTTCTTTGGAGGTTTTTGAACAGAGGCTAGATGGCCATCTGACAGCAATGTGGATTCTGTGAACTTGGGCAGATCATGTGAGGAAGGGCAGGAAGGGTTGCATCAGTGCTTAGTTCTTCTGGCCCTTTCTTACTCGCCAAGGGAGATGCTAATTGCCACTTTGGGGTCAGGAAGCAATTTTTCTCCAGGCTGGTTTGGCCAGGGATCCTGGTTTGTTTTTTTTGTTTTTTGTCATCTTCTGGGTGTGGCACAGCATTCACTGGGGGGGGGGGGGGTAGGGGGGGGGGGTTTTGGGAATTTCCTGCCTTGTGCAGAGGTGTAGAGGGGGAGGTATTTGTGAATTTCCTGCCTTGTGCAGGGGGTTGGACTAGATGACTCTGGAGATCCCTTCCAACTCGATGATTCTATGACCCCTCCCAGCTTCCTGTTGTTTGCATTTCTGATGAGCATTCCCCCACCCCAATACCCTTAACCAACATTTTTGGAACAGTGCAAGATTTAAGACAAAGTCCTGCACAGAGGTCATTTCGGGGGGGAACACAGGGGAACGCAGTTCCCCCGGGGTGAGGTGCAGGGGGGTGGGGCACATGATGAAGCCCCGCCCCCTGCTTCCGGCCACCCCGCTTCCAGCCTTCATTCAGCCAGGAGGAGGCAGGAGAAGAGGGAGGGTAAGTTGCTTCCTCCCTGCCTCTCCCCACCCCTGCCTGCCTGGGGCCAGGGAGGGCCTTGGCAGGGCTTCCTCACACTCCCGCTGGCCTTGCAGGTCCACCGCCGGGCCCCTGATGTCAGGGGGTGTGGCATATGCTAATGAGTTATGCTAATGAGTCCCCCTAGCTCTTTTTCTACGAAATGACCCCTGGTCCTGCAGCACTCCACTCAAGATCGACCTCCAGGCTGATACAAAGTGCTTAACACCAGCTGGGTATGGACGTTTAATCTGTTTACCAGTAGTATTGTCCAGCCCACACGTAA